TGCAAGTCTATTATTTTAAGAGTCTGTTTTATTTTAAAAAGCAAAGTTTCCTTCTTGCTCCTGCTACGTGTTCTGATTATTAAAGGGCTCTGCTCAATGTTCTGGCTCAGGTGCCAAGGTGGTGCAGGGTCCATGTCAACTCACAGGTCAATGACACCAAACAGTGATGTATGTCACTGTCACCCATGTTTCACCCGGCTACACTCAACTTCCGAGGAGGCAGGGTGACATCAAATGACCAGGTGCCTCAAGAGGGAAATACTAAGCCATAAAATAAAACAGAAAGAAAGAACCACAAAATGAAGACACAGGCCCTACCCTGGTCTTTACCTAAGTCCTCCACAGGCTTCCCGAAAGGGGCGTGGCCAGCCTCAGTATGCAGCCTGCAGACATCAGAAGCCAAGCACTTTCCAAACGCACTCCTCCCACGGCACTGCAGCCAGCAGCCCAACCTGCCCAGCAGAGCAACACAGAAGAAACCCATTCCCCTTTCTTACCGCTGCTTTCTCTGGAATATTTTCCCTGGGTCCTCAAGAAAAGAAAACTAATGACAGAGTCCTGTTCTCTAAAAGCACCTAGCACTGCCCTCTTTAAAAGCAGCCCGTTGGTGCTTCTTTTTTATTTTTTTAATGCTTTTCTTTGAAGGAAACGGTACTCCTCATTCTTTTTTGTTACTGTGCGTTACTTCCAGGACTTTAAGTGGCAAGTAATAGAAGTGGTTTAGGCCCTTCAAGCCAAGAAAGGAAGTGTGAGTACAAGAGTGGACAGCTCAGACCATGGGAGGGCTGCAGAACCAGACTCGGGGGCTACACCCCGAGCCAGCTTGAGTCAGGCCCATCTGACACCTGTGTCTTGTTTCATCGCTTCATCAGCAGCCCTCCAAGCCAGCGTGCTGAGGAAATGCCAGCTGCTCCTAGCGCAAGGACTAGCGCTTGTTCTAGCGATGTCAGACTCTGGAAGTTGCTGCAGACACCTCACCCCAAAGCAGCCACTGTCTCAGCCCCCGACACACCCACACGCGTGTACACACACTCACCCTAGATGTTCCTGACTGCTGGCCCTGTCACCAGCACTGGCAACCTTCTTCCTCTGTCCCCTGCTGCTTCCTGATTCTGTGTCTTCTGCAGGAGAAAGGATCAGCGGAATCTAGATCCTATGCTTGACCCCAGGCTGCCAGAGGGGCCAAGAAATCAGCTTCTGGCGCTTTCCTCTTGTCTACTGGGCAATGACAAAACTGAAGCTTTAAAATTTTAAGTATCAACCATGTAGATAGTAGATACTGACAGACATACCACATTCATGCAATTTAAGAAACACTACTAAGACAAGAATTGCTAGCAAAGTTGTGGGGGAAAAGGAATTCTTTACATTGCTGATGGGAAATTACACCAGTATAACTACTCTGGAGAGCGGTATGGAGATTCCTCAAAAAACTAAAAACAGAAATTCCACTCAACCCAGCTTCCCCAAACAGTCACAGACATCACATTGTGGAGACGCACACATGCCCATGTTCACAGCAGCGCAGCACATAATAGTTAGAACTCGGCAGCAGCCTATGTCCCTAAGCAGATGAATGGATGGAGAAGGTGCGGTGTATATACACAATGGAATACTACACAGCAATTAAGAAGGATGAATTTAAGTCATTTGTAGGAATATACATGCACATTGAAACCATGGTGTTAAGTGAAATAAATTAGACTCAGACAATTAAATATCACATGGTTTCCCGTAAAGGAGAAACCTAAAGTATAAATAATTTAAAGAGCAAAATAAAAGATAATAAGAGAAAGAGAGGCAGGTCTTTTAGAGATGGTGAGAGGATCTAAGGATGGAGGGAGAGGGACAGCGGGGAAAGAAGAGAAGATTAAGATGTGAAATGTATATGTACCAACTCCCCATAATGAATGTATTCAGGAGATTTTTTTTTTTTTTTTTTTTGGTACCAGGAATTGAACTCAGGACCCTGCACTTGCCAGGCAGGTGCTGTGCCACTGAGCTCTATCCCCAGCCCCAAATGTATTCATTCCGTATAGCAAACATATACTAACAAAAAACTAAAGAACTTGCCCTTATTGCAGCCTCCAGAAGACTTCTGATGGCCTTTGGCATGATGATGGCCACTGAGACATAAATATGAGGCCCTGAACTTCCCAGGAAGTTACCACAAGGAACTGTGCCTATACCCACAATGTGCCGGTGCTGGATGAGTCCTGGAAGGGGTGACATCACCCGTGTGTTCTCCAGATGGCAGCCTGTGGCTGCCCAAAAACCAACTGCTGCTGTTCTGTACCTTCAGGCCTAACAAAGTGCCCAACATACAGGAGATGTTCTGAAGGCCACAGGTAGAATGAAAGGAGAAATATATTATGTGATTCAGCCTCACAGTTACACTCTTTAACAAGCAGCACTGTTTGCCCAGTGATACAGATGAAAAAACGAAGACTAAGAGAATTCTATCATGTACATGGAGACCATGGCTTTACATCTAAACTATACACACATAGTCACGCATCTTTCCTCCTCTTTTTTAAGTCCAGGTCTGCATTCTGCTAGACTCCATCCCCATCCCCACGCCCAGCCTCTATCCTGCAACAGGAACTCCAAAAGCCCTTGGTGCAGGACATGACTCGTGTTCATCCAAAGTCAGTTTTCCTCTGTTCTAGCACATGAGCAATTCTCTGACCCCCGCAGGAGGATGGGCCTGTGACTGCCTCTGGTCCACTGAAAGTGTGTGGAAGACAGCCATGTCACTGGCATACAAGGGAGTGAAAGGTGAGATCCTGATCCTCTAGTCTCTTTCCTGCAGGGGCATCCAGGGTCCCTGAGAAATGCCACAGCAGGTACAGCTGTATGTATGATCATCCTCTGTCAATTTCTGCCCTAGACCGAAGGGACTGTGTGGAAGAGACTGTCTCCTATGGAAGACAAGCAGTAGAAAGCTTCTGAGCTCTATGGCAGTAGTATTGCTGCCTGACCTGACCTATTCTGACTATAAATCTATCTTCTTTTCTACCAATCCTACTCAGTCCCAAGTTGCAGAGAGAGCAACTGAGGCTTTAAAAGGTTAGGAAACTTGCCCAGATCACACAACAGCTCAACAATGGAACTGAGTTTTGAACTTGAGTCTCCTATTAATTCAGGAGGTAGTATGGTATAGTGATTAATTCTATGGAGGTTTGAGCCAGTAAATGTGACCTGACACCTGGTAAGCAAATCAGTAAAATGCCCTAAGCCTCAATGATCTCAGTCTGTAAAATGGGAATGCTGGCTTGGACATGGTTTGAGTTTGTCTCCCCAAAGTTTATGTGTTGGGTGTACAGTCCTCAGAGTGGGGGCTGGTGGGAGGTCCTAAGCTCCACAGAGTCATGTGCTTGGAAGGAATGAAGGCAGTTCTCATGGGCCTCCTGAGTTAGTTCTTGTAAGACAGTTGTCACAAAAGAGCAAGCCGGGGCACACGCCAGCCTTCTTTGCTTCCAGTCCTCCCATACATGCTCCTGGCCTGGTGATGTTACTTGCCGTGAGGTCTGCATCACAGCCAAGCTCATGCTGACACCACGCCCTTGAATCTCCAGAACTGTAAGCTACATAGACTTCTTTTCCTTATAAGGATACCCAAGCCTTAGGTATTTCATTACAGTAATGAAAAACTGACTTAAACAGGAACACAATGGTTCCCTTTCACAAAGGGGTGCTTTGAGAAGTAAATTAAATGAAATCATAAATATAAGCTCTTGGAATATATTATATACTTTTTATTTTGCAGCTATATATTACATCAATTATTATTATGCCACAGCTAACTCAGAATGTTTCAACCTTCTTCAGTCCCCTTTCCTGAAATTGAGGCTTTTACAAAACATTCCTCTAATCAGTTCTGAAGCCCTAAGACTGTTGGTTCCTCTGGCTTCTCTTGGTGAAGATGCTAAGAGGTTTTTTTTTCCTTAGCAAATATAACACACTTTCTACCTTTCTGTTACTAGCCTTTCTTAGCAAATATGCTGCTTCTGGCATTTCCCACTAGTGCAGCTGTCCTGGTGACCACACACAGCACTGTTGATCAAGTCAACAGAAATAAAACCAGGCAGAGTTCTCTCTGCATCATTCAAGAACTTCCTGCAGGAGAAAACTTTCAAAGAAAAGAGAGCTCAGTCTGCCAAGGTCATGCATGCACCTCTACCAGGAGAACAGACCATTCCAAAGCTCTTCTTATGCACTGGTAAAATTCAAGATGGGAATAGCTGAATAAATCATGACCCAGCTACATAATAAAATATTATATCACCACCAAAAAGGACGAGGTAAGGATGCCGGAATCAGAGTGCTGACTGGAGACAGTGCTAAACAAATGGTTCTAAGTACAGAAAAGTAAGAACCACAACATCTATGGAACAATTCTGACTTTTCAAAGAAATACATTTAAATCTGGAAACGTATACACATGGCTATATATGTATATGTAAATGTAAATGTGTGCATGACTAGCCATATGTCTGCATATGGAAACATTCAGACACATGCACTCACACCTGTGGATACAAAAACCTATGCAAGAAACACTCAAAATGATTAACTCTGACCATTTGTTGTAGGAGATGAAGGGTAGTGAGGAAGTCTATCCTTTATCATCTATATTACTGAATTTATTTCAGTGAATGTATATTGTTATTTTATATATGTATATACACATATGTGTGTGTGTGTCTATATGTTTTTTTCTCTGATTTCCAAAAGAGAACAATGTTGATAACCCCACCAAAGATTGAGCTCTGTATAAAGTGTTTTAGGGGCATCATTTCATTGAATCCTCACAACATCTTTCTGAGGTGGACATAATTTACCTCAATGCAAGAAAAAAATAAAGCTCAGAGTCAAGAGTTCAAGGTCACATAACGGAGCGCGCAGCAAAACCCGAGCGCGAGGGGGGTGCGCAGTTCCTGCGACGCGGTCTGTGCCCGCCCGCAGTGAGTACCGTGCCGGGGTTGCTGCCAATTCACCTGCTTGTCAAACTCAGGCTTCAGGGCGTCTTCGGTGAAGATGTGAAACTGCATCTTCCTGTGGCTGAAGAGCACAGCCGACTTGAGCATGACCAGCGTCTCCTCCAGCCGGTTGCCACAGGCCACCACAGCGAGGTGGATCCAGAGCTCGGGCGGCAGCGCAGCATGGAAATGCCTAGGTTCTCCAGGCCTCCTAGAGAGGAGAAAAGCGAATTAGAGCTAGAACTAAAAAAACAAAGGCTAGTGAATGGCTGGAACATTTCAAAACACGAACAGGCACAATCCGCTATATTTTATAAAGTGATAAGCATTTTGACAATTCTTCCTGCATACAGAAAAATACCATTTATTCCCTTATTTATCCTGGAGATAGCAGGGTGAGTCACTGTTTGGATTGCTATAGGTGTCTGGGACTTTCTCTGCCAGTTTTCAGCTGTCTAGTGCCTGCTGGCTGCCTGCTGGCCCATGCTTGGAAAAATATTGCTAAACTTCGACAGCTGACACAGGGTTGTGGGGCTCCCGCTCGCACAGGCCATGAAAATTAGATTTGAGTGCAACTTGAACAAGAGGAGGGAGGGTTGTAGCTTTCCCATGTGAAATGAGCAACATGATATTGCCGTCATCTGGATGTTTTAGGTTGCAGGGGAATGCATGACCACCGGACCAAAAGAATATCACGCAAGCGTGGGAGGTGAGCAAGACAAAAGCTGTGCCTCCCACCCTCCCACTGCATCCCGGGAGTGTCGTGAAGAAACAGGTGTTAATCCTAACCGTCTCGCCAAAGACGGGTGGGGTGGTGGGTATGAACTCCAACTTCCAGTATGAAATTCCTATTAATGAGAAACAGGGAGGAGAGTGGACAGGTTAACCTGCAAGCAATCGAGGTATCGAATACTCAGTCAACAGCTGGGAAGGGAATAGGATCCAAGAGTCCAGGATCATCATCCAACTATTTCCTAGCAATAAAAGATTAGTTCCAGACAAGGAGCTTTAGCCAAGCCTCAAACACACCACTGAGAAACATTTGCAGGCAAGTTGGAAGAAGTTGGCCTGGAAAAGGTGTCCTGAGACAAATGAAACTAATTTATTTGCACAGAAGATCTGGAGACCAGGGGAACTTGGACGTCAAGCGCTACCTGCCTTCCAAAACCTTCGAGTTCAGTCTACACACTGCTCCATTATTCTCTGCTCTGCTGGACCACGGCAGGCTCGCTCCAGATTTCTCTCACCACGAGGAAAGCTGAAGATGTGGGTGGAGCACTTTGGAAAGCTTTCCAATTTGATTATTTCAGATCACGCTTGGTAGAAGCACAGCCTCATGGCTCCGCCAAGGCCAGAGGCGGCGAGTTGTTTGGATTCTACTTCGGGGACCAAGGAAAAGACGGTGTCTTGGGGAACTGTCCACTTCCTTCACTCCCCCGCCCTTCCTCATGCGGCTACTGTCTTCTCTCACTGCACTCACTGTGACAGCCTTGGTGGTCCACTGGCTCTGATCTTATCGAAAATTCCCACCCTACGTGTTCTCTTTATGGGTGCCAGGACTGGGGCTCTAAAATGCACACTGTGCTATTCCTTTGGTTAAAACCATATGCGGTCTTGGCACTGCCTCCGAAGTCAAGTCTGAATTGCTAATTATGGATCCCACTTTTACGTTTTGCAAGCGCCCCCGACACCGTACTGCCCGGACGCACCGCCATGCCCAGTCACAGTCACTGTGGCCCTTCACCCGCTTCTGTTTCATCTCTAGTTCATGCTGCTGGTTCTCAGGCTTGACACACGCATATCCATTCACTCATTCATTCACTTCTTATCTCCGTTTCTCTTGGAAATGCTCTTCTGCCTCTCTTCTCACTGCAGCCCAATTATTAATGAAATTTTTACTAAACCCAATTATATGCCAGGTGCAATTCTGGAAAAGGCACCAGTGGACAAAGGTACCTGCCTCTGCGGAAGTCACACCTGGGAGAGGATAGAGGGAAGACAGAAGGAAGCACCAGCCAAAGGGGTTGGCTCCTGAGTAACTCACACAGAGACCGTGAATGTCACAGGTGCTGTGAAGGGAACGTGCAGCTGGCTCCCGGGAGTGGCGGGTGGGCGGGTGCCAGAGGGCACTGTGCACCAAGTCTAGAAAGGCTCCCCTGAGAAGGGGAGACCTGCTGGTGGCGTGAAGGAGCAAGGGAGTGAGCCCTGAGACCTCTGGGGCAGGAGCACAGGCAGAGGGCACAGACAGGGCAGAGGCACCGCAGCAAGGGTGAGCCGTTAGCTGTGGGGACGCCACCTGCAGGACTCCCTGCCCGTTCTCTCCCTAGGTTTCATCCCTATGTTAAAACCAACTCTCATTTAACTGTTATGAAGGAGAGGGAAGGATATATTAGAAATACTGCTACGATGATCATCAACTAACAAATCCTGGTCACAGGGCATGGTGGTGCACGCCTATAATCCCAGCACTGTGGAGGCTGAGGCAGGAGGATCGCTGTGAGTTTGAGGTCAGCCTGGGCTGCAAAGTGAGTACAAGGCCAGGTTGAATTGCACAGTGAAACCCTGTCTCAAAAGGATAAAAACAAAAACAAATCATGGTCAAGACACTGGCTGAAATATGCCACAAAAAGACACAATGGCTGGGCGTGGTGGTGCACGTCTGTAATCCCAGCACTCGGGAGGCTGAGGCAGGAGGATCGTTGCGAGTTCGAGACCAGCCTGGGCTACAAAGTGAGCTCAAGGCCAGCCTGAACTGCATAGCGAGACCCTGTCTCAAAAAGACAAAAAACAAAACAAAACAAAACAAAAAAACCAACAACAACAAACAAAAAGACACAATGCTTAAAATTTTGCCTGCTAGGAACATGAGTTATTCCAAGGTACAAACAACTGAGAGCAGGGGTGTAGCTCAGTGACACAACACTTGCCTAGCACAACAGAGGCCTTGGGTTTGATCCCCGGCACAGAAAAAAACAAACACAAAACAAAGGTATCCACAATAAATCCAATCACTTGGCTCTTAAATATGAACATCTGCTTCTGCCCCTAAACAGAACAACTCCATGTACTTTAACTGTCCATATTGAGCTTCTGCATGAGTAACAGATTTTGACCTTAGTAATCAGCGAAATACAAATTCAAACAATAAAAAGATTCAGTTCTAGTCTCAGACTGGCAAAAATTACAAAACAAGGTAAAAGTCTGCCTGCAATGTGCCTATGGGAGAGGAGACAGCTTAGGTACTTCTGGAGCCAGGGGAAATTGGTCCAAACCCTTTGGAAGCCATCAGGCAACCGTTAGCAGGCACGATGATGGATAGACATGTGCTCCATCCCTCCCGGTCTACTTCTACATGCACAACCTGAAGAAGCTCTTGCACCTTTGCACCAGTTCCACGCAAGAACATCCATAGGAGCCCTGATTATGATAATGAAAAATTGGAGATAAACTTTGCCGTCTATGTGATGGAGAATCATGAACATATTTGATAAGTTTAGGGAGTGGACTACTATACAGCAGTGAAAAGGAATAAACTACAAAGGCAACTACTAACATAAGGCCAAACAAGAAAAAAAAAAAAAAAAGCTGTAAGAAGAACAGCAATAAGATAATATCATTTAACGAAAGCTAAAGAGAACTGTACTGTGTTTTATCTGTGGATATACATAGTAAAAGCCAAATCCACACAGAAGAGTGAAAACCAGCAAATGCAAGACAGATTTAAAACTGTATTCCTTCAACTGAGTGCTGGGTGCACGGAAATTAATTTTATTCGTATCTATAGTTTTTGAGCCCCCAACTATTGGACAAATGCTTTTTCCGCTGAAAAGATTACAGGCTGCGGCTGTGGCCCTGTTGTAGCGTGACTGCCCAGCACGTCTGACGCCCTGGTTCCATCCCCAGCACCAAAAACAAAACAGCCAAAAAAGCTTGCACTCTGCTGCAGCTCAGCAAACCACCTCTTCCTTTATTTGTAGGCTCCAGTGATCCTGGATGCATGGTAGAAAAAGCAAGGGCCAGGCAATGCCGTCTTTCAGGGTGTCTGGTGACAGGTACTAAAAAAGAAAAATAAAAGCCTCTCTTGGTGCCAGTTCAAGTGTCAGTGGCTGGGATTTAAGGAGAACTTTGCTGGCCCCGCTCTGCTCCCTCTCACATTACACTAAAAATCCCAGGCTCCGGGTAATATAAGCATTGCTCTTGTGCGGTCACATGAATAATGAAGTTTAGGGCGCGCACACGGTGGGCCTCTCACTGGCTCCTACCAGTGGCACCCTCAGCGTCTCCCAAATGTCACACAAGACTGCGAGAACCCAAGGAGTCCCATCCAGAACCTGGGGTTGTTAACCCCTCAGATCCCTGGGCTATGGCTGGGAATAGATCCTGACTTAACTGCATTAGTATTTCTACTTAGAAAGGGGGCTGGAACACACATTTGCTGTCCAGGACTTTTAAAGACTGTGCTAAGGACGGAGCCGATGACGGTCATGCTGGCCACCAAGTCGGTACAACCCAAGCAGGAATCTGCTCTACAGCAGGAAGCAGAGCCGGAAGATGGAGGGTCAGCTCTCCGTGATATTACCAGGACGTGGGTGCACCTGGCCCAAACTTCGACAGTGTGGTTATTAAGCCAACAAATTCCCTTTGCTTGAGCCAGTTTGAAACAAACTTCCTTTTTTTTTTTTTTTGGTCTTTTTGAGACAGAGTCTCGATGTGCAGCTCAGGCTGGCCTTGAGCTCACTTTGTAGCCCAGGCTGGTCTCGAACTCGCAACGATCCTCCTGCCTCAGCCTCCCAAGTGCTGGGATTACAGGCGTCTGCCACCACCCCTGGTCAAACTTCCAATTTGACAACCAAAACAGAGTCCCACTACAGGGCCTAAACCTTCTGTTTCTGATCGACTTGGACTCTCTTGCCTTCACCTGGCCCAGCCTTTGAAATGCATCCGCCCCTTCCTTGCTCACTGCTACACCCGCAGCAAGTCCACACCGTGCGCTGGAAAAAATGCTACACACCATGCTGGACACCGGACACCTTCCTAACCACGCAGATAACCATCTGCAGTGCTGGCTGGTATGCGGACTCCGGCTGCACAGGGCTCTGAAGAGGCTGCTCATCCAGCACTGTGCGCCCACCCCGCATGGTCAAAGTGCTCAGGTGCTCAGGATTTAGCTGACCTCACACCCCTCCCCCGCCAAACTCTGCCCCAAGCCCT